AGTTTATGCAGGTAGAATTTGCTGCTGTTGTGCGCATCCCTTCCACCGCTTCAGCATGCTGTAAGGAAGCCAAAACTGTGAACACTGTTGACGCGGGGAATGCACGGCGCGGGCGGTACGTCAACCGTCCGTATAGCGTGTATTTGATACACGCTGCAATTTTGAGTTTTATTAGGCGCTATGTGCCGTTTTTAGGCCGGGACGGATGGTCGGTCCCGGCCGTAACGATAGCATTGTTACAGTATTAATTTTTTATTTACGTTATTTTTAGATTATTTTTGGCGTTTGAGCGCAATCTTAATTGTGATTCTGCCGTGCGAACCGCTTGGCGGTTATTTTGTGATTTATTTAGGCGTGGAGAGAGAGAGAGAGAGCGTAGCTCACGTAGCGTCCGACGAAGAAGAGCAACAAGGAGATACGATAGAGACAAACAGCGATACAGAGGCGTAAGAGTCTCATAAGCACAAGGCGCTCGGCGACAATGTCGACGACGGACCAGAAAATGGGAGACGCTAGCACTCCGACTCCGCAAAAACTAGAGCGGAGCTTCCTGTGGAAGTATCAACCCCGTGATGCAGGAAAATGAGCCCGAACAAGCTCATCTACAAAGGGAATCAAGCAAAACGGGAAACTTTCTAGCCAATACAGCCAGAAAAGTGCCCGCGTCGATGAGTTGCCGATACGCACATAGCCACCGTCAATCACAGCGTCGCAGAGCACAAGGTATGATTGGCTAATTACCTGGCCCGAGTAACGGCATGCGGCCCCGAGAGAAATTGCCGTATTGGCCGAAATTATTGTTGTGCGTGTCGTGAACGACGGGAGTTCCTCGTCTCCGGAAAAAGTTGTGAGCCGTGCCGGAAGTGAGTGCCGGAAAGTGAGACCCGAGGAGGAACTGAGAAAGTAGAGCGCTGAAGAAAACAGCCTTGAAGAAAGCTGCCGTAGAATTTTTGATGGATCTAAGGAAGCCACGTGAAGAAGGTCCTGACAAACGTGAGTGATCGCTCGCTCTTTCTCGCATATTTTTGCCTTTCTGATAGTATACAGCCGCGGATCGAGTCTGCACGTATATTGTCAGCTCGATGCCGCGCCGTATATTTGCGTTTGAAGACCGGCCCAGTGGTCTGGCGGCCTGAGTGCAGGGGCTGCGAACTCGGAGGTCTCGAGTTCAAATCCGCTTACCACCTAAGGATTTTTTTCCGGGCCAGTCCCCTTCAATCGAGTTTATCGGTTGATCGGCAAACTAAATCGGACCTCCAATAATTAATTAGAGTATAA